CCTGCCCCTGCCCCTGCCCCTTTGAGGTCCGATGCTAAAGTGCCCTTGCAGTCCGGTCTGCCACCGGTCTGCGATTTCTGCCGAGGGTAGGGGTGTGCGATATGAAGATTTTTGATCGTGGACGATAAAAATGTCTCCACGATCTGCTTTTGAAGAAATATATCATTGTGTCGTGCTACAACGCACATTCTATCAGCTGCAGTTCTGGTGCCGCCGAATCAATATACTGTACAACGCGACATACATTAACATCAGTGTTAACTCAGCGGTAGAGTTACTATTGCACTTATTCACAATCACAAAAGTAAATTTTTTGCATCTGCTTTAAAGCCTTGTTAAACGTTTCATTCGTGTGCTGTTCTGACAAGTGCTTTTTCTGAGCACACCCAAAGCACACACACGAAAACAAAAAAGCCCGTCAAACAGTGCCTGATTACTGAACTAGGTAATGTTGTGTGCTAATACTGTCAAAACACACACGGTTTATGCATAGACTCAGTTGGTTATGTCTAAAATTAAAGTAAACAACGGATGCGTGCCTGTATATTAGATGCGTGCAGGTCTTAAAGGGACAGTACTGAACATGCTGCCGACTGTAATTAAGGGGATAGTTCACCCTAAAACTTAATTTCTGTCATTATTTATTCACTCACATGTTGTCCCAAACCTATATTAATTTATTTCTTGTGCTGAACACAAAAGAAGATATTTTGAAGAATCTGGGTAACCAAACAGTTGCTGGTACACTGACTTTGATAGTAGGAAAAAAAATACTAGGGCAAATACCAGCAACTGTTTGGTTTTCCACCTTCTTCAAAATAGCATTTATGTTTAGCAGAAGAAGGAAACTCATTCAGGTTTAAAACAACTTTTGAGTGAGTAAATGAAGGTCATTTTTTTTTATGCTCCTGCTAAATACACCTATTGTAGCCTACCTGAAAATAAAACACTGTTTATTTTATTTGTCACCACCCCACCCCCTCCCGGTCCGCGATTGTACCCTCGTAACGCCATTTCGCCCCTGCCCCTCCGGAGGTCTGTGCACGCCACTGCACAAAGCTATATTGTGGCACACTGCTGGGATCTGGTACTGTTAACATGCTAGAAGATGCTCCACAATGCTGTGAATGCATCATGAAGCTGTGGCCAAAAGGGAAACTGGTATCAAACAATTTTGTGAAATTTTAAAGGAAGATGCAAGACTCTATAGTCTAAACACTGGTATTGCTGTCATTAATGTGCATAAGAATGTTGAATTTCAAGCCATGTGCTCACCACAGGTGTCCAACAGTTCTCTAGGCAGGAAAAAAAACACTTCTTTATTTTTTCCTTGGGTCATTTATCACCTCAGCTGTGCTTTCACTATCATTCACCCAACTTTCCACACCTCTATTCTGTCATTTTACCAGTACCAGCATTCTTTTCTGCTTTCTCGGCATGTTTTCTCCTTTCTTAGTATCTCTTTGTCCTCAAATTTGCTGGTTATCAATTTACTTGCCTCATATTTTCACATCTCTTATCTATTTGCTTTTTGTATTCCTTGTCCCGCTTCCATCTACACACAGTCCAGATAAACATTTATGGACATCCATGTGCTCTATTTCCACCAGTGTGCCACCACCAGAAGATGTTTAAGGTGGCATTGGAATGTGTAAGCACAGGGAAACCTACTACTAGCAAATCTGCTCATGCTTACCCATAATGTTTAACTCTTTCCAGTTGCAAAAAAAGTACCTTAGTGAAACAGAGCTGTAATATACTGGTTGCATTTAAGACATCTTGGGCAATTGTGTTTCTTTAACCAGTTTAGGAGCAAGTTTTATTTCCAGTGTTGGCTTGTAGCTAGTAATTTATTGTTTTACCCCAATAATGTCAGTCTGCCTACAAACGAATCAAACTTTTTAAAATAAAAAGTCTTCTTAAATATAGTGCAATAAATCCTCTACAGTATGTTAACAGTTTGTGTGGAAACGGCATCTTTATCCTCTTGTCCTGTTTTCTTATTATTCATATATATATTTCATTGTCTTCTCCAGTGCTGGCAGTAAATATTACTGTATCTGTATTTCATTTCCCTCTTTCTGCAGCTATGGAAAGCAACGCATGTCAAGGTGTCACTTTAGATTTCTTTACTAGATCCTCCCTTAAACCTCAAACAGTGTCCACTTACAAAAAGATTCACAACCAGACTAAACTAACACCTTTTATTAAAAAAAAGTTATAAATATGTTAAGGAAATCTTCCCCAACTTAATGTCATTGCTTCGGTTTAACAGTGGCCCCTTTGGTTTAAAGACCCCATGAATTGGCTTGATGACCAGTTTTCTTTTGTATGTTGCGTCTGTTTCACAGCCAGACTTGTACCATGGATGTGACCAATGAAGGCAACTTCAAAATGAATAAGTTCTACCCATTTGCTTTGTAATCAGTTGATGTTTTCGAAAATAAACTGATGAGCCATAATTTGGCACTTCTTATTACTAGTTGAAAAAAGGTAGTATTTATAATTAAGAGGGACATTCTGGAGAGTATTTTATTGGACAAAAATTATATACACCTCTGTGGACAAGAAGATTCATCAATCTGTTTGGTCTCATAAAAGCTAACATTCTAAAAAGGAAATTTTCATGGTGTCTTTAATGTTGGCTTTTGTTTTTGGTAACAGTTGACAAATAACAAACAGTAATATAAATAGATAATGACTGAGGTAAGTGTAGAAAACAGGGCAAAATTTATTTTATAACCCTGTGCAGTTGAGCTCAACTTAATGAGACTTCATTCCGTCTACAGGCTTGTCAATGAGAATGAAGTCAAACAGTGGCGAGACCAAGCAGAAAAGTTCAGAAAAGGTAAGAGTGCACACTGACTTGCATAGCAGAGCCTGGGTGAACTTATGTAATGATAATGCACATGTGTTTTTTAGAGCATGTAGAGCTGATGGCTCGGCTGGAAAGGAAAGAAAGAGAGTGTGAGACCAAGACACAAGAGAAGGATGATATGATGAAGACACTCAACAAGATGAAGGACAAACTGCAGAAAGAAGGAGTGGAGTTGCGCTCTGCCAGGGAGCATGTATTAGACTTGTCCTCCCACATTAGCAACATTTCAGTGAGTTCACCATCTGTTAATTTCTAGTGTGCTGTAGTTGTATGATTTACTTTGATCTCAGAAAGTAGAACAATTGCACAATAATGTTAGAACTTCTATGTTGATGTTTTTATTGTGTTGTTTAGTAAGAGATGCTTGAGGAGAAGCTGTTTTGGTTAAGCATGAGTTATATGTGATGGTTTATACATTGCAGAAACTTTGTCTAACATATTTTATGCAAATGATTTGATCTTTTTCACTTTAAGAATGGTGGAGTTCATTTACACGTTCCCCCTCCGCTTCCTGGGAGCCCGATGGCTCCGCCTCCACCACCTATGATGATGGATAACTTGCCTCACCTCCTCCACCCCCACCTGGGGCCCCGCCCATCTTTTCTGGGGTTCCACCTCCACCTGGACCTGCTTCCATTAGCTCCACAACCAGCCTACGCACAAAGAGCATCCCACAACCTTCACAACCACTAAAATCCTTTAACTGGTCCAAACTGGGAGAGGTGAGTCAGTTTTTATTTTATTTATTTATTTATTTGGTGGTACTTGCGGTATTAAAATTCCTCATAGTTAATGCAAAGTTATACTTTCTGAGATTAGGTAATTTATTTTTATTTTTTTTTATTTTCTGAGACTAACCCTTAATTGCAGTCATCTTTCCTGATTTCCCGATTTTTAGAACAAGATCACTGGTACCATCTGGTATGAGATTGATGACAGAAGGGCCTTTAAAGTTCTTGACCTAAAGGACATTGAGAAGATGTTTTCAGCTTACCAGAGGCAGCAAGTATGCAAATGTGGCACACAAGAGTCACATCTCAGCTGTGCTTAAATACCAAACAAATAATTTTCGCATTCAATATTAGATATTTCTAAAATAACTTCTGCAATGATGTTCTGAAATAACAGCTGTACTGATATTCTTATTTATGTTTGTGAAATGTGTGTGTGTGTGGGGTGGGGGGACTGAATACACACCAACTCTAAATTGAGGTCCCCATGGGTAAACAAACTTATAAATCATGCAGAATGCCCACAAGGATCGTAAACCAGACGTGTGTGTGTGTGTGTGTGTGTGTGTGTGTGTGCCTACTTAACCATATTTTAGGGACAAATTTGTACCCAAAAGTGAGCAAAACCTGACAAAATCGCCAAAAACCTCCATTCGGGGGACGTCCTCATTTGTAAAACTGGTATAAAAATAAAGTAAACAAAGTTTTTTTGAAATTGTAAAAATGCAGAAAGTTTTCTGTGAGGAGTAGGATTAGGAGTAGGTGTGGGTTTAGGTTAAAAAATGTATAACTATCTGCATATAAAAACAATAGAAGTCTATGTAATGTCCCCATTTAGATAGCTAAGTTAACGTGTGTGTGTGTGTGTGTGAAAGAGAGAGAAAGAGGGAGAGAGAGTATTTGGAACCTCAGGCTTTACAGCAGTGGCTAAAGCAACTGCTCTTTGCTAAATGGCTTGTAATAGATGCTTCTGTGCTTTAAGCATGAAGTAGTATTTTAGTGCATTTAGAGCAGAAATGCTGCAGATATGCTCTCAGGCCCAATGTCAACAAAAGTCAGTGATTTCAAATGTAATTTTTAAAGTTTCTTCAGTGTTTTGCAAGCGATTCTCGGGCCTGTGAGAATGTTTGCTGTAGTCAGCTCTGGCTGAGTCTTCTGCTGTAGTTCTGCTGCTTGAGTTGTTAACTTCTGCATGTCTTCCAATGTTTCTTGTTTTTTTTCTCTGCTGCTGTACCACTGCCTGGCCAGGAGCTGCTCACTAACCAATCCTTCAAGCAGGTGAGTGATTGGTCCAATTAAAGCTACTTTACTGCCAGAACGGGGTCAGAAATGAACGTTTCTATTAAGCGGCAATATTTGCTATGTTGTATCTGTGTTGTCTTTTATGTAAAATGCTTAAATTTTACTAATTCAATCAATCAGAATACTATAGACTGTTACCAATTTTATTAACATCAACAAAAACCCATACATGCAATGGTGGGACAAAAACTGTAAAAATAAATTTTAACCTGTCATTTAGATTTATTGACACAGACTGTTAATTCTTCTCAAAGCTGAGTACATGTATTTACAAAATTACATAATCTAATAGCCTACATGAAGTATATAAGCTGTAAAAAAAAAAAAAACTAATTACAGGGTTGGCCTGCAATATGACAAACTCACTATTGTCAAATATTGTTCTTGATATTGTAATAATTATTTTTAATGTTGATTAATAGAATGAATAAAAATGTTTCTGTGTTTAAGGAAACTGTCATGTTATGGCTACACAGTCATAACAAGCATGGAACCATTTGTGAATTAGTTTATTGCTTTTTACACAGCAGAATATTAAGACTTCACATTGGATATTTTAATAGCATGATAAACAGAATGGTTATTCAAACTGGGAATAAATTATATACAGAAATGCAAGCATATAAAGAATGATCACTGAAGTGTTTAATGACAGTCTAGTGCAAGTTATGCAGACTTGCAGAAACTCCTGTTACAATCACTGAAGCTGAACTTTTTTTTTTATGATGAGAGAATTCAAGAGAGTGGAGAATTCAGCCTCAGATTGGCCAATGCATTTACAAGCTCAACAGAAATGTGTGGGATTGGCTATAATGTAAAAAAAAAAAAAAAAAAAAACGTACAAAATCATTTTCAATTTTTGACCCCTTGTCTTGAATTTGGGGGGCATTTTTGTACAATTTGGTTGCATTTTTGCCCCAAGCCCCAGGCAATTTCCAACCCTACATTCACCGTCTTATTACATGCTGTCTATTATAGTTATTTTGGCCACTGTAACCAAAGGAAATCTGAATTAATGTGACAGGTGATGGAAAAGTCTGAACTAAAATCTTAAAAGAATAGTTAATCCACAATTGAAAATTATGTCATAGTTTTCTCACCCACATGTTGTTCTCTAGGTGACTTGTGTCTTTGACAAAACAAAATGAGATGTTAGGGAGAATGTTATATAGCTAATTTCCGTACAATTATGATGAATGGAATCTGGTACTGTCAATATCCAAAAATGACAAAGAAGCACTGTAAAAGTATGTTTGCTTATATTCAGTTATGACATATTAGGTAGGATATAGTTATACCTTATTAGTCTTGACAGCCCCTGATCATGGTATAATTTCGATGTATGGAAAGGAGCAAGTTTGGAGCAGCATCGGGTTAAAATGAAAATGGAATTTTCATTTTTGAGGGAACTGTTCCTTTAAGTATTTTAGAGATCTAGTTTACACATCCAGCCTCATCTTGCAGTAGTAGAATTATCTTTCTTCTCAAATGCCTGGAGTGAATAATTGGTGTGTTTATTTTATTTTTTTTGAACGGCTAAACTACTGTGATAGAACAGTAATTGGCTGAATAACTGTAATTATCACAAATGTGTCTAATTACTGAACACAGATGACTAAAATGTAGATGAGGCATGTTGTGGAAAGTAATGACCTTTCACCTATCCTGCATTCTTCATGTTACTGCTCAGAGAGAGCTGCAGGGGTGTGTAAGAAGTGTGCTTTCTTTGGACCAATGTGGAGTTACATGACCCATGTAACCTCATCGAACATTCACAGCACAGGAAACGGTCCGGACCTATAAATAGACGACTGTTCTCGGTGAAACAGTCAAGCTTCTTTTAAGCATCTGTGGTGTTTCAGCTGCATGATTATTTTTGACACACTATTCTGAATACTGGCCTTTTGAGAGACATATAGAAAGTTAGGAATATATTGTATGTTTTATTTTTACTGATTCATTCAGTTTAGAAAAACTGGTTTGAAAGACAAAAAAAAATAGTTCATTGTTTATTCAAAACAGCAATGAAATCCTTGTCCTAACTCCTAACTCATTGTCCTAAGCTTTGGTTGATTCATAAATAAAATTTCAACCTTTGCCTAAATACAAGCCAAAGCACAATCCCACATTATAAGTTAATTTTTGCTATCTGTAAATTAAAAATTAATAATACTCATTCATTATTTTAATTATAAAGAAAATGAATCCAAACCGTTTTCTCTTTTTCTGCAGAAAGAAACAGGATCAATGGACGACCTTTATCTGAGCTCACGCAAAGTCAAAGAGCTGTCTGTTATTGATGGACGGAGGGCCCAAAACTGTGTCATCCTGCTTTCCAAGTATGTACTTGTCCTGAGTCAGCATTGTGTTAAAGTCAACCTATCAGTTATTCCGGAAAACTGATGCTACGCTTCTTATGAAGTCCAAAATGTAAACATTTGTGAAAAAATGTTTTTAAAATTGTTGGCTAATTATGTAATACCTGGTCACAACTTATTTTAGTCACATAAAAATAATCTGAATCTGAAAGGAGAGACCGATTACCCCTTGCCTAAATTATAGTTGGTCAGACTAGTTCTTAAAGTCCCCTTGAAATCAAAATTGACACTTTTTTATGGACTATTGGAATAGTGTTTATTATAAATTATTTATCTGGAAATATATGCATACATATATTTTATTAATGTGCCCTCGTAAGGGAGAAACAGGCTATCTCATGCAATTCTGTGGCCCAGGAGCCACATAGAAACTTAATGAAGCCAGGAAAAGTTTGATTGCGTTCTTTGATGTGGCCTGATTTTTATTGATCAGAGCTAAGGGGAGAGAACATTGATTGTACCAAAGACCATACCTAACGTCTCGTGTCATAAAGAATGGTTTGGCATACTACTGGTGTGTCTACTTTCTTAATAACATGTTAAATATTAACATTTTACATAATTAAAAACAAAAACATTTCTGTCCATATAGGTTAAAAATGAGCAATGAAGAGATAAAGAGAGCCATTCTGGAGATGGATGAGAGGGAGGAGCTGGCTAAAGACATGTTAGAGCAGGTGAGGGCTATCTAATGGATTCATCAAGAAATATATAACTACAATGTTTTTAATTAGTACTTTTATTATATACGAGTAAACACTCTCTATGGGTACATGTATTGTACATTCACAGCTGCTGAAGTTTGTTCCTGAGAAAAGTGATATTGACCTTCTGGAGGAACACAAACATGAGCTTGAGCGTATGGCCCGGGCTGACCGCTTCCTGTTTGAGATGAGCAGGTACTGCGAAATAATTGAATCTTAGATTAAATGCATTTGATAAATGAGCACAATGATGTATGACTTCAGAAATAAAAATAAAAAAAGCTACTTTGGATGAGTGAAGAATAATACTATTGAAAGTTCTTGATCAGAAGATTTAATACTGAATTGCATTAATTACACAACAGGCAACAAACCAGGATTGGCAGTCATTTACATTTCTCCAGCATATTTTACCTCCAAAGAAACAGGACTCTGCAAAAATCTGTGGTATCTAGAAATCCCAAAGTCACCATTTATCATAAAGCCAGAAACGTACTTTACGCAAGAGCATGAATGCAGCCATCTTTGACAAGCATGCATACTTGCATAAATCTACATTTTATAAAGCAACAATGCACAGAGTCATACTTGCATATCTAATAGCTAATAACCAAACAAAAGTATTTGCACTGGCTAAGCACCCACAGCTATGTCTGCATACTTGGTAAAATACGTTTCTTACACAAGAAAATGCTGAGTAATGTAAGATAACTACTTGTAATTAATATGGTTAGAAATAATGTTAGGTTGAAGGTTTTGGTTCAGGGTCTGTATACAGTTATTTTAGTAAGTACATACAAGTAAAATAAAGTGCTAACATTTTTTTTTTTCTTACTTTAAGAGGTTCTTAATGTCATAAAAAGTGTACTACTTTATTTTACCCCTTCCCATATATCCTTACTGTAATGTGGGAAAAAAAATAGTTCTCATTACTGTAATGCAAAAAAAAAAAAATCTTAAAAAAAATTTATCATTATATTCCAGCATTTTTAAACTTTATCTTTAAACGTAATGAAGTAAAATGCCTTTGAGAATAATGAGAATTACAGGGGGGGAAATATAACTAATATGTCTTTATGTCCATTTTGGGAGGAAATGTGGCATTTTGTAAGATTCAACCCAGTGTCTAAAACTGAATAATTTTGACTTTTTTCTCTCTATCAGAATCGACCACTATCAACAGAGGATCCAGTCTCTTTTCTTCAAAAAGAAGTTTGCAGAGCGTCTAGCAGAAATAAAACCAAAGGTTGAAGGTTGGTAGGTTTAGAAGGAATGTTACTGGAGGTGTTTCTTTGCAAATTAACACAGGCTCATATTGAAGTGATAGAGGCCAGAAACGGCTGTATAAATGTGATTTGGGAGAAGTGGATATTAGAGCACGAGTCAGGTATGTTTGTGAGTGTGTGTGTGGCTTTTATACTTGAATTTATCTCCAGTTCAAATAAAGAACAGAGTTTCCACGGAGGCTGTTTTGGAAAGCTGGCACATGTTGAGAGGGGAGAGTCGTTCTCATAAACGCTGCTTTTTTCTTCAGAGTTTCAAGCTTTTCAAGAAAGAGTCATGGCATGCATGTTCTTGCATAGTACTTCAGATAACCATAAGCCTGTCCAAATTCTGGTTAAAGACCTGTCCCTGCACATTAATGATGATCTTAGCTACCCTTTAAGGGACAGATCAACCAAAAACAAATATACAGTACTGTCATCATTTGATCTACCTAATGTCATTTAAAAAAAAAAAATTTCCTTTCCTCTGTGAAACACAGGAGATGTTTTGAAGATTGTACATGCTGCTCTTTTCCATAATGTGATACATAGCCATACATTAGCTTTGTGTGAAAAACAGACTGGAATTGAAATAGCTGAAAAGATCACTAACACCTTGCATATCCTCAAATTTCTCAGTACATACACTGATCTTTAATATTGACTAATTACTCATTTACACAGCCTAAGGTGAAAAACAATTACAAAGGTAAACATTAAGGGTGCTAATATGACATAGTTTCCCTAATTTGACAATGCCATGTCATGTCTACAGTTATAAATCCAAGCACAAGGAGTAAGACACTAAATTGATAGCAGTGTCTAATTAAGCTTTATTGAGCAGAAAGAATGGGTGCCATCAACACAGACAAAACAAATGAAGGACTTCTCTGGCCCACCCTTGCACATTAAATCGTGTCAACAGGAAGGCATTTGAAATGTTTTAACATCGAGGCAAAGGAAGTCTAACTTTGGCTAAGATCCTTCGGGAAAATGCTTTTTGTGGGAAACTGGCAGCTGTAAAATTGTGGACAGGCATCAAAGTTGCACACTCTTTCTTGTTCCCGCTGGAGCGACTGCAGTACTGCGGCTCTATGATGGGAACTGTGAGGCAAAACTGGAGTTAAGACTAGTTCACCACACTCACAAAAACAAAAAAGTGAGGTTAAACATCAGTTTAGTACCAGTATTATTTAGTAATTTGGACTTTTTGGAAAACGTAGGGTTTTACACTGGGCTGTGTAATTCATTTGTGTAAACTGGAACTGGGAGAAAAGATCATTAAAAAAAAATAATAATAATTTTATTTGTTTGCTCATTCATGCTGACATTACTGTGGGTACTGATCTTGTATAGTGAATCGTGTTGATCATGAAATGATTACAATTGCCTTTTGGTCCCTCATACAGAATAATTTGGTTTCAATATGTTATCCTCTGGCAAACTTTTTTTTACCATTTTTCAGTTGATCAGAAACGAGCTTATGACTGGGCCCAGGCAGAATCTGATGCCTTTTTCCACATTGTCTGCACATTCTGTGCAATGGAATTACATGTGGTAAAAAACAGAGCTGAGGGTACTACACTCTTATTGGTAGCTAAAAGCACAATCAAATTAGCCAATATATATATATATATATATATATATAAAAGCTTTGGTGAATTCTGCATAAATCTGCTGAGCCTGTTTATGACCTAATTTATGAATACTTAATCCAGAAATTATAAACACTTAATATTCAACAAATTCCAGTTAAGTCTGTGAAAGAAGATCATGTTGTCCATATTGCCTGATAATAAATATGTCAGTACTATATAGACATCATGGAGGCTACAGTAATATCTTTGATATCTTTTCTTATATCTTTAGCTATTCTGTGTGCGTCTCGTGAGGTGATGAGAAGTAAGCACCTGACACAGGTTCTGGAAGTGGTTTTGGCATTCGGGAACTTCATGAACAAAGGACAGAGGGGCAACGCATATGGTTTCAAAGTGTCCAGCCTCAACAAGATCATAGACACCAAGTCAAGTATAGACAGGTCAGAGGTCAATGAAGAGGTTTTTAGCTTGTTCATCTGAATGCATATCTAATGTCACTGTTTTCAGTCAATGCATCTATTAGACTTTCCACTGCTACCATTGAGACGTTAAATGCAATTTACAGAATTGGTGTAATCAGTCAACTTTATTTATTTTTTGTAAATTCTAGTTGTCACTTAAAAATGTTCACACAAGGTATTATATGTTTTTTTTTTCTTCTTTTTTTCTTCTAATAAAATAATTGCAGTTCTGTTTCCACATAAGTTTATTAGCATAAATTGCATCAAATCTCTTAAAAATTCAAAGCATCCATTCAGTGTTTAAAAAAATGATTTGTTGATGAATGATATTGAGTTTACATTATGGTATGACAATCACTAAATGTGGTTAATAACACTGGTAAATCTGTTTTTCATTTCTTTGCTTTAAACTTTAAATAAATTAATAATTCTATATGCATTTTCTACAGGAACATCACCATGTTGCATTACCTGATCATAATCTTTGAGAAACATTACCCTGACATCCTCAATATTCAACAGGACTTGGCCTTTATACCAGAAGCTGCCAAAGTCAAGTGAGCCACACACTGCATACTGTTGAGCATAAATATAGTATGTACTATTGTTTTTGATAGGCTTAGGCCGTTTTGTATCTCAGTTGTCTTACTTTTACTCTCACAGTCTGGCTGAGCTGGAGAAGGAAGTGTTCATCATTAGGAGCGGCCTGAAAGCTCTGGAGGCGGTGAGTCATCCATCATTTATTTCTCCAACTTTAAGCGTTCTCATCAGAGGTACCCTGAAACATTACTGACATACCCCTTTATTATATATATATATATTTATTTATTTTTTCACTGTTGCAACACTCTTTGACAGTGGTTTGTCAGCTACTGATTTTTTTCTGCTAGTAAAGAAGCTTTATACAAACAACTTTTGTGGATGATGGGTGGATTTTGTGGACAAATTTACTTGTGCTTATGTTTGGACACTTGCGATAAATATAGTTGCTTTCAGTGAAACCTCCAAAATCATTGCATTATAATAAATGTTTGGCATGATAACAGTATACTTTTTTTTTTTTTTGTATCCAAATAATTCCTTGATATGTAAACTTGTTCTATTTTGTGTAATGTTGATGGAGTTTGTTAGAAAATATTACCAATTTGCTTGTTAATGAACTAACTACATTGAAGTTACAGTTACACAACTAATACATGTCACTTTGGTCTTTGTCACACTAGTCCTAAAAAAAGTGAAAAATAGGAATATAAAAGAGTATAGGAATATAAAGAATATAAAATAAATTTTTTTAAATTCTATTAAATTCTAATTTCAAAACCTTACACTTCCTACAACTTCCTAGAAAGTTTATCAGTAAAAAAAAAACAAACACCTGTAGTCAGATTTAATTAGGAGCAACAAAAAAGGATAAATTCCGATTGAATCAAAATTGTATTGTTTACATCAGGAGTTACGATACCAGCAGAGCCGAGCATGTGACTGGGGAGACAAGTTTGTCCCAGTGGTCAGTGACTTCATCACAGTTGCTAGCTTCAGCTTCTCTGAACTCGAGGAACTACTCGCTGAAGCCAAAGATAAGGTAACATCTTCACTTAATTATTCAGTCACAATCATCAATCTCAAAATCAATCTTACTTTTTAACCTCCATCTTTAAATACCCAACCTAATAAAGCTATTGGTACATTCATTTTCATCCCACATTCCAAAAGAAAGGTTTTATTTTAGCTAGATAAAATCGCACAATGGTTCCTTGGCAGCGAGAGAGAAAACAAGAGGCCTGGCTCAGTGCCTAGGGCTGAAAATGTTTTCTCCAATATGACTTTAGAGTTATTGTTAAGGGTAGAACAGGGTCTTTGAGTGGGTCACAGTAGAGGGTTGTAGAGTGGAGCTGGGCTTTTTTAGAGAATCATGGAAGGATAGGCCCTTTCTGGAGGAGCCCAGCAGGCCTTCCCGTCCCCCCTTCTTTATTGTTTTGAGCTCTGCCAACCCTGTGCATGGGCCGGAGCCTGACATCATAGAAGGAAGAAGGAATAGGGAGTGAGTGAGAAAGAACGAAAAAGACAGAGAGAAAAGAGAGGGCTTTGTGTACCCTTCCTGGCTCGGCATGATGACTTAAACATCCCGAGGAATCCCGGCAGCCGATCCTAAATTTCTCAGGGTTTTTACTCAAGGGTTTGAGGAGATTTATTTCTTTTGAAATGTGGCTTGGTCTCAACTCCACCCCCGCTGTGGTATGTCCCCTACTCTCAAATACATGAAAGAGAACCATTCTGAAAGCCATAGGGAATACATTTGGGATTTGTCCATGTGTGTTTGTGAGTGTGTTAGTGGGCTTTTCTGTGGTGGTGGAAAGTGTGAGTAGGGATATGTTTTGGTCACTGGGTGGACTGAAACAATCTTTATCCGAGCTCCAGTCCCCAGAACAGAACCGTCAATTTAACCCAGTCCACCGTTATCCAAATTATTTACTTAGTAAAGCCATAAAAGTTCGGAGAGACTTCACAAGAAATGGCTGACCTTGAAGCTCTATGAGTTATTTGGACACAAAGGCCTCCCTGTGCTTTCCAGACAGATCTACCTCTTCCTGCTGTCCTCGACGGGTCAGAATTCCATCTCCTGTAAGTGATTCTGTCATCTGAGGTGGGCCAAAATTAACACAAACATTATGGCTGAGAACAATGGTAGAGTATTGTCAACACTGAGAAGATCTCTCCTCTGATGGCTTGTACAGTAGTTGTTGGGTCACTCACAACCTAAAGGTTGAGATTTTAACTAGAGATTTTAAGATTCTTTCCATAGTCGCAGGACTGCATATGCCCTCAAAATGGGAGATCTATGAAAAGCTAAAGCTCAGTGCTGGAAAGCAGAATTATTGTTTCAGTTTCACAATAAAAAAAGAACAGTTTTGACTTCACATGGAATAGTGTCTCTTATGAGATAATTAGCTGCTCCATTGAACTGAGACAAAAAAACTTGGCCAGAATCACAATGATAGAGATGCCAGTTAGAATTGAGACAAATGAGTTCCCCATGGCAAATCTACTGTGGGCGAAGACCCAGTATATACTCTCTTGGCAGACAGACCTTCAAATGGCTTTTGGAGCAAAGACCTTTGGCACCTTGGTTATGCCAAACCACAGTAAAAGTGGATGCACTTTTTGCGTATGTACATTTAGTTTGCCACAAACGTTCAGCCACAGCATCTGTCTACAATTTGATTATGTAGTTCAAGCAGTCCATTTTTAAGTAGAGATCAAAACATCTTTGAAATATTTGTTCCAAAACAAAACAAAGACCCCTAATGACTACCATATCGGTTCTGAAAGATCATTGCAAGCTTACTTCCCAAGTGATGGGTTTGTGATTTCTGGGCTTTCACAGTGAACAGGATTCATATTTCTGTCCATAGGGCATATGGTTGTCAAACCAGGCATGACCTGTTACATTATCACTCTCCTCTCTTTCCTCTTCAATCCAGTTTTCTAAGTCTCTGAAGCATTTTGGAGAGGAGGAAGGTTGCATGCAACCGGATGAGTTTTTTGGAATATTTGACATCTTCCTTCAGTCGTTCAGCGAGGCCCGACACGACCTGGAGAACATGCAGCGACGCAAAGAGGAGGAAGAGAGGAGAATGCGCATGGAGGCCATGGTACATCTTTTCCTAAAACAGAAATGCACGCAGAACACACACAGATGCTTACAGGATCCACCGATAATGTTACACTTTTGAATAATTTCACACTTGCTTGGAGGTTGTTCTGTCTTTGTGGTCTCTATTCATTAACATCTGGTTTTCTTGAACTTTACTTACATTGTTGTTGAAGGTTTTATTACATGAAAAGAGGACCGTGTTTCGTTTAAAGTTTGTCTATAAATGACCACTATTCTGCACGGCTAATGTCAGTGTATAGAAAAATTTATCAATTATCTGTAAACCAGAATTTACATAAATTATTCTTTTAATTTACACCTTGTGATTGGCCTGCTGTCACTTCCAGTAGTTTCCATTCCTTCATCTTTGGAAAAAAATTATTTTTCAGATCCTTCACGACATTGTCTCTCGATTTCTAACATCCTCAACTCAGAACCTTGTTAAAAATCTACTCATTCTTAATGCTGGGGTCCTTTTAAAGGCTGTGCAGACACTCCAACAGGCTGTCTAAACTGGATGTGTCAAAGCCAGAGTTCAAAACAAAAATGTAATTTTTGTAATGTTTACATGTAAATGTACACTCGATGCATTATCTAATAAATCATAATTATCAGGAGAAAAAAATGCACAGCTTTGTCACTTTGCCATGTACATGAAGTTAATGCATTTCAACAAACAAATTCTCACTCGTGCTGTATATCTTATGTTGAGGTTTGAGGGACCTTGAGGGAAAACATTCCATAAGTGAAGTTGACAGGCCTTGGAGTAATTTGTAGCAGGACCCCAAATGCACTGGGGTCGCTGTAATCACTCATGAGACCATGAATCACCTCAAAACAGCTCTGCTAGGGCCCTTCTGCATTGGGATGCTGTTATTGTAGGACATTTTCAAGATTGACCTCTATTAAATGTTTAGTTGGATTTAAAGCTACTTCAAATCATTTTTTACATTGGACAGAGGAAATAATAATATCATATGTGTTTATATAGGCTATACTAAAAATACTATGATGCTGCTACTCTGTATATTTTAAATGTACATCTCTGTTCATTTATCTATCCCAGCTGAAGGACCAGCGGGAGCGAGAAAGACGAGCAAAGAAAAGCACCGGAGGCAGTGTGTCAGAGGAGGTGGGGGAGTTTGATGATCTCGTATCGGCGCTTCGCTCAGGTGAAGTCTTCGACAAGGACTCTAAACTTAAACACAAACGCAAGCGCTCTGCCAACCAGCTGGCGGATTGTGGGGGTCGTGAAAGACCAGTCACCAAGGTGAACTATTGACCTCAGTGAATACAGTCAGAAGGAGTTCGGATTTTTATATTTACAGACTGACAGGGAACTCTCTTGAAATGCCATACACTGCCCTCTATTTTCTTTTTTGCTCAGACCAGTAATAACGGACAAGCTCAAAGATGGACAGGCTCACTGTAAGATAGTCTGGTTTATACACAGATGAGAAGGATGCCCTGCGATCTCTTTCTTCTTGTTTCTGCTTGTTCCTCCTCCTTGATATGTACAGTCACTCACACTGATCTCTTACTCTTGTTTTTTTGTGGCGAAATGCACAACCTGAGTTTCAGTTTGGAAGAGCTGTTCAGTCTGGTGCTGCGAGGTCTCACAATAAGTCATAAGAGGTAGATATCATCTGAGTCACTTGTAGAATCCATATGGTCATCCTTCTAACCTGCAAAGGTTATTGTCCTTTCTCTGCCGCCCATTTTCATGCTCTAATTTTAGGAGATTGAGAAATTTGATACCTCTAATCTTCCGATCCAACTTTGCTTTTGGATTTAAAAGATGCAGCTGGTGCTTCCTAAACCTGAAAATGAAGGAAAAAAAAGAAAATATTGTTCAGTCCTGGATGTTGGAATTACCACACAGGCAATTATGACACTGTGTATGCAGCCTTACAGGTTGGGATACTCCTTCCCCCAAGTGCCTCTATACATTAACGGCATTCCAAGGACTACCTCCTGTACGGAGATACTGATGAGAGAGAAGAGCACTTTCACAAAGACATACAAAGAATATGAAAATACGCTGAGTGTATTTAATGGCAGAGATTAAATGAACCCGTTGGATTGTTATACTTTATAATATTCTCATCTGTCATATACAACTGCACCTTTTATCCAAATGCCCTGAAGTAGCATTCTAGGAAAGAAGGAACCATGAAATTCTGTTTAAAAAAGCCGTTATCTATGAGCAGGTACTACCATGTGTCTTCATCACTTCTTCAGGTTAACATATTGAACCTTTGGGCCTTGATAATAATATTTAACAAAATGATGTCTTACATGTTTTACTATCTAAATGTGTATAAAGAAACGCTAGGTACCCAGGTCTGTAAAAAAGTTGTCTCTAGAATCTTGATTTGTAGAGAGATCCACTGAATTTTAGACTTTGTTCTCAAGGTCAACATTATGTAACCCACTTTGGTTTTCTTATATTTTGTTCATGTTTTTTTTTTTATAACATATACCTGTATATTAAGTAGCTGTAGTCAGGACAAAGGTTGCAGATGTATATACAATGACCTTGTAGCTGGCATGGTGTGGCAGAGAAAATGGTGTTAGAGATAGGGAAAACAAGAGGCCTCTGATATGGAAATAGACACACATATGAAGGCAATGAATGCAAACATTTGAAGGGGAAATGTAGATTCCAGTGAGATGGTGATTATGGATTGACAAAAAAAATCATACCCCCCACGCCCACCCTGTAAGAATACTGTTTTCATCACAACATGCAGGTTACATTGCAGCAGTCTGAGGCCTCATGTGTCCTCTGTCCATATGGGGTCACAGTGGGAGTTCTGTATAAGGTGATTGTGTTTATCTTTTAAGAGATAAAAGTTAAATATTGACACGCATGGTGCTAATTGTCAATTTTTGTGGGTACAGCTCTGCCCCTTCTGAACTTGCTTAAGGAACAAGAAGAGTGTCTGTGAGTGCAGGGCTTGTGGTATATCTATATCTCTTTGAGCCAGTAAGATCATTTATTAACAGTCCAAAAATACACAAGTTTTAAAACTAAGCTTACAAGTGCCATAACAATGTGCCAGTGCAGACATTCTCTCCTTTCACACCTGTATCAGCTCATGTGTACTTATTTAGATTTAATGATTGAAAGTTGTATATTTATGATTGTTTACTTGTTTTAATACCAAAAATAGTAATTGTAGTCCTATCTGTATTAAGTCTCTTTTTCGTGACTAATGGCTTGAGATTGCTTATTACAAGTTAGTATTTTTGTACAACAGACAGTTCGTTCCAGGTTTGACCTGAAAAGAGCAGAGAGTTTTGTCTGGGACATTTAGAAAAATACAACTATTGCCCACTTAAATCTGAGCATTTGTAATTAGTTGATTGCACTTCCTATAGAGGCTCTTATTAGATCTAATGGCAAAGCCCTAGTCTTGAGCTGCTTAATTGGAGATCATGTAGAATTAGGAATGTGGGTTTGCACGATTAACTGTTCTTTGTGCACCAAAATGAATATGACCCAACAGAAGAGACGATATACACTTTGTTAGACAATTTTATATTAATACATTCATTAAGTACTAAAAAAAAGAAAGATTATAAATAATGCAACTTGTCCCTTGCCAAATTAAATCTGGGGCTATTTATTTTAATTTCCTTTACATCTCTGTCAATCTTGTCATGAGAAGAGTGGTACTGCAGACGCTAGAAGTTACATTGTTCCACAGAACAACCTTGGTGTTCTGCCTTTTAAGCTTCACAAGAGTATTAAAATCTTCAGTGTTATTATTTGTATTTTTTATGTATATCTGGTGATTGATTGTCCAAAACAGAAAGGAAAATATGTAGCTAGTTGCTTAATGCACTTTTTTGTAGGACAGACTTTTTCCTGCATCACAAACCTGAGGAGCCAAAGGCTGAAAAAAAAAGAAAATCTAAGTGTATTTTTTTTAGTTAAAGGGGTCATATGATGCTGCTAAAAAGAACATTATTTTGTGTATTTGGTGTAGTGAAATGTGTTTATGCAGTTTAAGGTTAAAAAAACACATTATTTTCCACATACTGTACATTATTGTTTCTCATCTATGCCCCGCCTTTCTGAAACACTGAAGTGGGGGCGTGTTAGAACGAGCCGTTTTAGGTAGGTGTAATGAATTCTTAACTTTTATAAAGAATATCTCTTTGGATTTGAGACTTTAGTCTTTGCAACTTTACAGATCTTCTTTATACACCAAGAGCTTGTAACACTTCAAAGAGAAAGGACAAATTGAAATCGTATCATATGACCCCTTTAAGGAATCAGGGTTAAATAGATTAGATGTAAATTTACCCAATAATCTGTGTTCCATTGTTTTATAAAACTGTCCTTTCCAGCTCTTTGATTATTGTGGATTGAATATAGATAAGATATGAACTGTAGTATGAATGGTAAAGAAAACTGATTATCTTTGGTACATTACAAGAAGATAAATATATAAGACTGCATCTGAAAGCACCATGCCAACTGCCTAAACTCACTTTTATATTTGAGATATTTTTTAAATATGTTTTGCCTCCCACTTCTGCTTGGCACTTGATGTTTTCCCTATTGGCTCGAGTGGGGCATAGGAGTGGTTCTCTGATAATATATCGGTGTATTATTATTATCTGTGACAAGAAACGCATCACACTTTGAATGTGTTCATGGAATGCTCCACCTATGATTTAGACAGGTTGTATTTGTGCCAAGTGCACCATTTTAAAGGTTGATTTGACAAGGGCCTCACATAATAGATGTATAGTTCTCAAAATATTTTGTACACCATCATAGTCATTTGAAAAAAATAAATTAAAAAAAGAAGGTGAAACTGAAGTTTGAGGAATGTGGAATGAGGATTTTTCTTTCCCCCTGTAAATTGTAGCTCTATTTATTTGGCTTAGTTATTTTGCTATATTTTGTATGTATACACAGCACTATGAAAGAAATGGTATAACTATATTGTGATTTAATATTTGTTAGATAGTTTGTATGAGAATGACAAGCCTTTCGTTTATATATATTTGTTTGTTTATGGTCCGACCCTCAACCTCAACAAAATTTTGTAGGGTAAAAATAAACTTGTTTCAATGACATCTGGGTAAATTCTTTACTTTGGGTTACACTTCTGTACAGCTGGCTCTTAAATCCCATATATGTCATTGTACTGTGAATATACTAGGCAGACAAGTCATCCATTTAGTAATGGCAGTTCTCACTGCTGCATTAGATGTTTATCATGGTGCAACACTGCCCTCTTCTGATCACAGAAAGAACCACGGGTTATAAATCTGACCAATCAAACAGCAACTTCTGGTCCAACATACAGAAGTCCCTAGCACATCAGTTTTAAACATGACCATTATTTAAATTAGTTTAATCGATGTCCGTTACAATTGACCAAGACCAAAACAATAAAAAAATACAAATGAAGTCTCTGGCTACCAAACACATCCATCATTCAAACATTTTATCCAAAACAACTATTGCAGTTGAGACATGGAACATATTACACATTGTAAACATCAATTATATTAGAAAATTATGATGAACAGCATTCTGACAAATGTTCAGATTTAGTGATTTCAGCTTTATGTATAAAAGAAAAATAACAATGAAGGTATGATTCATCTTTTCACTGTATTCTTGTTTGTTCAGACAAGTCAGGTGAATTTACAGTTTGTGCGTTTGTAGCAGGATATCACGAAAGTTTTCCATTTCAAAAACACTTTTTGAAAAACTTTAAATGAATACGAAAAACATTATTTTATTAAATATGGGCCTCGTTCATGAAACAAGCAGAATGTTAGTTTATAAAACTACTGTCACAAATACTGTAATGAATTTGTTCTGCTCATGTTACATGAAAGACTACACAAAAATAGAAATAATGTAATCTAAAAGAAAGTGGATGTTTTATAAGAAGATACTGTGACAATTCGCTATTGGCCTAAATACTGTTAATGCAAGCCTTTTGAATAGAGTGCTGCAATGATGACATATTTTTGTAGGCCAAACCATAAACAACAAAAGTTTGATTCTTACATCGTCACAATAATCCTCACACAACTTTAACTTTAACCACTTTTTAAAGCCTAAATACAATCTGCAAAAGTAAAAAGCTAAACAAAGACTATAAACAAGCTTCCAACAAGTCTTTCAGTCTTTATTAAAAAAAAAAATCCCTGGAAGTTTGAGGTTTGAGTTAGAACACTTTGCAGGCCTTTAGCCCCCCCAAAAAAAACAACAACAAAAGGAACCAGACATGCTAAAATGCTTATTCCTGGTTGTTGTCCTGCAAAATGTGTAAACCCTGCAGCACTCTATAAAATTGCATTTTGGACACCTGCACACTGTCAGGTGGGTTGTGTTTTAGTTTCAAGGGATAGTTCACTCAAAGGATAAACATTTGCTGCTTGGTTTTGCTCATTTATGCAAACACTTCTCAGTGCAAATATAAATTTGCTCATCTGGTGAAAACTGTGACAACCTTTCGAAATGCAGTATCATTATCAAAATAAATATAGACTGAAATAAAGTATTCTTTATATGTCAGGTCTTGAGTAAGTTACATTTCATGCTTGGAATGGACAAAGGAACAGTAAAAATGACAAGTAGATTAACTATAGAGGCATGTGAAGGCACATTTTGTTACAGAAAACTGGTGTCATTCTAAAAAGAAAAATACTGTAGCGACATTCAAACAGGTGAGATTAAGCCAGCGGTTTATGTGCTCTTTAGGAATCAGGTGACCAATGAAATTCACCTCTCTGTCCGCCCGTCTTGCTGAGCAACTTGATGTCAGTAATAAGAATATCATGGCTGACTGACTTGCACATGTCATAGAGGGTTAGCGTAGCCACCGCAACGGCGGTCAGAGCCTCCATCTCTACTCCTGTGCGGCCCGTGGTTTGGCAGGTTGCCTTGACGATGACAGCATGTTCTTCCTCAAGCAGCTCTATGGTAACGGAGGCGTGGTCGAGAGGAAGCGGGTGGCAGAGGGGAATGACAGATGAGGTCTGCTTGGCACCCATGATGTTGATGTCAGTAATAAGAATGTCATGGCTGACTGACTTGCACATGTCATAGAGGGTTAGCGTAGCCACCGCAACGGCGGTCAGAGCCTCCATCTCTACTCCTGTGCGGCCCGTGGTTTGGCAGGTTGCCTTGACGATGACAGCATGTTCTTCCTCAAGCAGCTCTATGGTAACGGAGGCGTGGTCGAGAGGAAGCGGGTGGCAGAGGGGAATGAGAGATGAGGTCTGCTTAGCACCCATGATGCCCGCTAGCTGTGCTACCGCTAGTGCATCGCCCTTGGCAAGCTGATTGGCACGCACCAAATTAAAAGCTTTTGGGCCCAGGACGACCTTGCCACAAGCCATGGCTGTGCGACAAGTTACCGCCTTATCGCCCACGTTGACCATGGAGGCTTTACCCTGTGCATCAGTGTGGGTCAACTGATCAGAGGTTCCATCAAGGCCGGAGGACTGTGCATCTGTATGTGGTGTTTTCAAATCAAACCCACATTCAGGGGTTTTGCTGCGGTAGTGCCGTGCAAACTGCAGAGCTGAATCTCTAAATTTGGACGTTGACAGTAGTGCACTCAGAAAGAGGACGGGAGGAAATGTTTTGGACTGTAGCTGTGGTGGCTGAGACCCCCAGCGCAAAATGTGCGTATGCAGAGTTGAAGCTGTGGTTTTTTTTAAGGCACCAGCATTCACTTGATGATAAGATCCGGTCATCACTTCACTACAAAGTGCCTCTGAGGCTGCACGACTTTGCCTTTGATTGTTCAATCTTTTCATAGAACGAAACCTTGGTCGATTATGCTTTTTACAAAGAGGAGTCAAACCTAGTGTATCATTAACAAAAGTGCTTGTGTAGTCCTGATGGGCATTACCACGAAAGTGTTGAACGGAATTTGTTAATGAGTGAGTTGTAGCAGAGGCTGCTGAATCCATGCAGTGGATCAGAGGAAGAGGCTGCCTCTGACTGCCTCTAAACAGAGGTACTGGCAGCAGCCAGTTGCATTCTCTACCTGTAGACAAGGGCACACATATTCAACAATACAATATTTTCTAAACATGAATCCTCCACAGCTGAAAATTTGGTGAATGAATACACATTAGCCTAAGCGGGTGGGTGATAAACAATACATATATGAAACATGTTGCTTGTTGATAGGGGTGTGCAATAGGTATCATGTAGAATAATAGTTTTTGTTATACAGTTTTTCTCAGACACTTTGGTGCATTTCTCAGATCAGAAATGAAATTCTCAAATCGACTTGTTCAACCTCCACATCATCTAGTCAGGTTGTGCACATCATAAAAGCAGTTTCTCTTTCTTTTGAACAAGATGCAATTGCTTTGGTACATTCATGCAATTGATTGCGTACATTTGTCTGCAGTTTCCTACATAATTAGTTGCTAATGTCATGTTGCTCAAAATGTATTATAGGCTATAGTTCTCTGTGCAATAGTCTTACCCCTCAAAACAGCTAGTAATTAGTTCACTGTATAAGTCATTAAATGCAAAATGGTTAATCTAGTTGTCATAAACTGTCAAGCATATT